AAAAAAAATCAGTTGTGAAATAGAGTAATAAATTTCTAGTGGTGAATTCTACAAAATCTAGATTGTGTGTTAAATGCTACCCTAAAGAAGAAGACTTCATACGCTTGGAGATTCGCTATTGGAGACGGCTCTTGATCAACGCTTTGTCCTATCCCTGGTTGCCTTCATATCCACCAAGACAGCCACAACCTCGTAATCGAACTGTTGGAAATTATATGGTCTAAGACTGTGTGAGTGCCACATGAAACAGCTGGAACGAAACAAAAATTAGAGAGTGGTTGCAGAGGAAGAGTAGAAAAAAGCTTAGCAATCAAGCTCAACAATGTTTCCAAAAAATACCATATGGATCCTTTGGAGATTATAAAAGAGTAGAAATTTATGTATTTAAATTCAACAAAAGAGTCTACTATGGGGAAATGTTTTATTTCTGGACAAGAATGATATGAAAGAATGGGAGTTTACACATGAGTACATAAGCAACAACATATGATACAAGAAGCAACAACATAAACTATACTTTATGGAGAAGACGGCCAAAGGATTGGACGACAAAGTGTAACTATAAATGATGGATCCTTTGTCAATGGAAGATTGCCATCCAAATCAATTTTTCAGATTATAGAATAATATAAATGATCAATAAGCTTCAACTGCAAAGTAGATGAGGAATTAAAAGATACATAAATTGTCGAATAATTTAACTTTTTAGAGGAACAAACACAAGTCTTAGTGTCCAAGTCCAACCTTCTTGAAGGCCAGTAATGGTAAATTGCAAGTCGTGCCGATCTGCCCGTAGAAGATGATGAATGGTTAATATCAATATTACATGAATAACAAAAAATCTATAGAACTGCACTATGATATAGTTCATTTCGATCGGATATTATAGAAAGATAAATAACAGTTTTGCCTTCTTTGGAAAGAAAGAAACCTCTGCGCTCATGGAAGCACTCTCTTATCTCCTGAAACTCTGTTTGCCAACACATTTGTTAATTGCTTTGATCACATATTGGTTACATGTTAATAATCCCAAACCTGCAATTTCGATTTCAAATGCTAATAATCCCAAACCTGCAATTTCGATTTCAGATGCTAATAATCCATCATTCAAAAACCATCCTAACAAAGTATTAAAGAGGACAAAAACATAAGCAAATTAAAGTCTAGTTCATTGGGTTTGAAGCAGTGTTAGATAAATGAGAGGCTGGTGTGGTTTCAGGTACGAGTCCTGCTGGTTGGATCGCTGCTTATGTGGTTGTTGGAAGGGTGTCTGTTTGTGTGCTGGGTGGTATGATGACTGTTGGTTGCAGGAGTGTAGAAGAAGACATGAAAGCTGCCAAGTCAGGATCCTTTTCTTTCATAAAGAAGATGAGCTTCTCCAAGCTGGCGATCCAAGCTTGAGACGTGCGGTGCTCCACATCACGTCTTGCATTTTCAGCATCCTGATCAGAAATCTTGCGCCTTAGCTGATCTTGAAGCTCAACAACTGTAACTGTAGAAGAAGAGCTCGCATAAATCTCCTTGCTTTTTCCTTTGTGTAGGGTCTCCACAAGAGATCCAAAGCCATAAGGGTTGCCTTGGTCATCTGTATGAGTACACTGAAACGAAAACAAACATTCAGTAAAGTAAAAACAAACATTCAGTAAACTAAAGACATAAATGATGTACCATAAGGAAGATATCATTCATTTCATTAATGTTGAGTTCTCTAGGATGCGTTGAATGTTCAGAGGAAATCTCTCTAGTATCTTGACCCTCCTCTTCCAGTTCAGCCAATCTCTCTTCAATTGTCTTCTTATACGACTCAGCAACTTGTTCAGACTTTTGATCCACAAAAGATCCGTCAGCTCTAGTATGCATTCTCTTAAATACTTCGCCAAGTGAAACTAGACGCCCCATCTCTTCCTCCTAAAATGAAAGAAAAATAGATTATCAACTGTAGAAGTATTAGAAATTCTGTAAAAGTAAAGTGTTTGGATGGAAATAAACATCTTACCATCTCTTGATGAACTTGGATATAAGATTTCTGACCGGCTAAGTGTTTGTGCACCTTAAGTCCGCCACGATCAGAATTTCTGCATTGTGAAGCATTCTCACTCCTCTCTATAGCATCAGCGGTTTTCCAAAAGTGTTACATCTCAGCCCAAAGTGTGTTACCAATCCAAGTTGGTTGTACACTAGTCTTCTTCACATGACTGACAATCCCTTTCATCCGTTTCTTGGCTATAATCAAGAATCCTTCTCTAACAAGGGCAGTAATTCCAATATCCCAACTAAACTCCCGCTACATAACATAAAGCAGTAAGTTAGTTATAACATACTAAGTCAAATATACTACAGCAAGAGAGAATGAAAGCTATATATATGTCATTACCGCAAAAGTTCTAAAATATCTCTCTCGTTTGTCTATTGGTGTAACCTTTCAGCTGTAGAAAGGCCCATCAAAGTTCCTCCTAAAGATTCTGGAAATCGCTCGGGACAGCCTCCCGTTGTGCCCGTTAAACCTGTTACAATAACAACTAACAGACTATTAGTAGATAAAGCAAACAACTTAGGACAACTCTAATATACTCAACAGATTAGTTAAATAAACAAGACTCTATTATACTCAATAGATTGCAAGTACGGAAGATAAACGTATGAGGCTTGACTGTCCTTTTAGAACTAAGGAGCAAGATGTACATATAAGCATATAGACACATGGATTGTGATATATAATCCATTATTAAATCAAACATATGAGCATATTGATTGTTTTTATGTAAACCAACTAAAAAGACATCTTAAGCTGATCAAGAATGTTCAGACTTATTCAAACAATGCTCAGACTTATTCAAACAATGCTCATACTTATTCAAAAACAATGCTCACACTTATTCAAACAATGCTCAGACAAAATTCAAACAATGCTCATACTTATTCAAAAACAATTCTTAAATTCAAAAACATTGCTCAGACTTATTCGAAAACAATTCTCAGATACCACAATGCTCAGACTTATTCAAAAACAATTCTCAAATAAAAAAGGCTCAAACTTATTTAAAAACATTTCTCAGATACCACAATGCTCAGACTTATTCAAAAATAATTCTCAGATAAAAACAATACTAGACTAAGGGACACAGAGTTTATACCACAATATTTCAACGCCTAGGATTGGGTCTTTAGACATAAGTGGTAGATGTTGTCGGCTTGGAAAGGCTAGCAAACGATCCAGCATTTCTTGGTAGTTTTCATTTGGATTAGGGTTATCTTGGTGATCTTTGTTTCCTACTTCATCGTCCTCTTCCTCTCCAAGGTCTTGGTTTGTTGTCTAGGTATCACTTAGTGATTCGCATCATGTTCTGGTAGAGGCTGGGGAGGAGGAGACGGTGGTTGTGGATGATGTTGCGGCTGAGGAGGAGGAGTTTGTTGAATGAGAGGAGGAGTATGTCTACTAGGATACTGTAAAGGACGAGTCACATGGGATTGGATCGCAGACTGTGTCGTCGATGGGTTCGATGAGTGAGAAGATGCTCTGACCCCACTCGTAGTGACTGGTGGTCTCTGACCAACAAAGTTTCGGACACGAGAGGCTACTGGTATGCTGGTCTCACCCCCTCCAGCGGCTACTGGTCTGCTGGTCTAGCCCCATTCGCGGATACTGGTCTGGCCTCCTCTAGCGGCTAGTGCTCTGGTGTTCTGGCCCCCTCCGCGACCTTGTGATGATTTACCTTTAAGCGGCATGAAATTCGAAGATTTGGACTAAGATTTGAGTCAAAATTTATGAAGATTCGAACCCAGAGAAAAGGAAAAAAGTGATTTGGGACTGAGATTCGAAGATTTGAGGAGATTTGAGAAGAAGAACCGAGAAATCTCTTGAGAGAAAACCCTAGATCGAATTTGGGGGAAAATGAAAAAATGAAGAATCGATTTTGTTTTAACCTAATAATTAAGAGTACCGGTCGCTCTTTTGTTGCAAACCAGTGACAAACCAAAAACAAATTGGGGAAATCGAAACTGCCCAAACACTTAGCCAAAATCTTAGAAATTTCACTAACTGTAGCTAATTGGTCGCAATATTGGTCGCCAAATAGTCACAAGATTTGTCTCAAACTAGTCGCTAAATGGACAGGGGTCACAAAATATTCACAATTTAGCGACTCATTTTGTGACTGTGTTATATTAGTCACAAGACAAAATTTTAAAAAATTCACATTGTGATCCAAAATGGTGATATATATCACTCACTCACCGACCATTATGTTTCGTCGCTTTAGTGTGACTGTTTACTCTCCATTTTTTAATTAGTTGGTGAAACGTCGAAATTCAGTCACGAATTAGTCGCAATGTTTTGCGACTAAAAAATTAGTCGCAAAAGTTAGTTGCAAAACGCAGGTTTTCTTATAGTATATATATATAAGATATAATATAGCTACTTGACAGATTTTTAATATTTTTAGTTATCTTAAACTTTTATATACCATGTGACTGCATAAATGTTTTTTACTGCTCCTATATGTGTACTGCTTGCATGCAATCAATCAAAAATAGTAGGATGAAGGTGATAAATAATTTCGACAAATAAAACGGCGTCAATAAATGATGAAATAAATTGATACGTATGAACCCTAAACCAAAGTGATATATATATATATATATATATATATATATATATATATAATTTAAAATTTATAAAACAAATTATAGACACATTTTTTTAATGATTCAAACCTTATGTTCTTAAAATATATTTATCTTATATTCAAACCATTATTTATCTTATATTCAAAAAAAATTATAGACATATTTTCTTAATGATTCAAACAGTTTTATATTCAAACAATTATTATGTCCAATGCTAAAATTATTTTAAAACTTTCATCACTTATATATTAATCTACTCAAACAGTTTAATATTTATAAACACACCTACCTATTATCACTCTAAACATTTTCCCTGTTTATACCACTTTTTTTTTAACATCTGACTTTATTAATAATAGTGTCGTTGGTTTAAATAGTCACAATGTAAGGCATTCGTGATAATAGAAGGAACATAAAAGTGAGACTGAAAACTAGAGTTAAAGGAATATCAGCTTTTGCAAGAATATCTGAGCTAGGTTGATTATGCTTCCTTGGTATCCATTCAAACTTGACTTCGTCAAAATTGGTCTTCCAATATAATATCTTGCATCTTCAATTATGGGCTCCAAAGTTCATCGTTTTGTCGTTGAGAACATTCACCAGTACTCCTCAACAGTCACCTTCAAAAATAACTTTCTTGTATCCTCTACTCCAATAATGTTGCATTACCATAGTCAAAGCTTGTATGTCAAATAATTAGGATGGAAATATATATAGTATACATTAATGATAGACGTGCTAGATTTAATTCGTGATGAATAACAATCTAACTTTTATATAGTATGAGATTTTAACTTTTATATAGTATGTGACGGCATAACTGTTATCACTACAATAAATGATTTACTATATGTCTATTGCTTGTGTGTAATCAACCGAAGAAGATAAATAATTTCGACATAGAAAAATGCGCCAATCAATGACGAGATAAAACGATATGTATAAGCCCTAAACCAATGTTATATATAATATATACACACACTAATGTATTCAAACATCTATTACATCAAATGCTAAAATTATTTTTAAAATTTCGTCGCTTACATTATAAACACACCTACCTATTATCACTCTTAACATATTCACTCTTTTCACCAGTCGATTTCTTTTCTTTTTTTAATGACATCTGACGTTATTAATAGTGATGTCAAGAGTTTAAATCGTCACAATGTAAGGCATTCGTGATTATAGAAGGAACATAAAAGTGAGACTGAAAACTAGACAGTCACACCTTCAAAAATAACCTTCTTGTATCCATTAGTCCCACAATGTTGCATTGCCATGATCAAAGCTTGTAGTCCTCTTTCGAGAGCATTCATAGTTACTCTGCATCTGCCTTGACCTGATACAAGATAAGTACCCAAATAATATTTGATAACCTTCTTGTATCCTTTAGTCCAATAATATTTGACCTGACTTGGATGGTAATCTTCCATTGACAAAGGATCCATCATAAATTGTTACACTTTGTCCAATCCTCTGGCCCTCTTCTCCATAATGTATGGTTTCTTCTTTGATGCTTTTGCGCATCGGTCCTGGGATTTTTGTTCGTTATGTACTCATGTGTAAACTCCCATTCTTTCATTCATTCTTGGCCATAAATAGAACATTTTCCCAGAGTAGAGTCTTTCGTAAAGATCCATATGGGTATGTTTTGGAATTGTGGCTGAGCTTGATTGTTAAGATTACTTCGACATCTTAGCTTCCTCTGCCACCACTCTCTAATTTTTGTTTCGTTCCAGCTGTTTCCTGTGGCACTCAAGCAGTCTTAGACCATATAATTTCCAACAGTTGGATTACGAGGCCGTGGCAATCTTGGTGGATGTGAAGGTAACCAGGGATGGGACCAAGCGTTGATCATCAGGCCGTCTCAAATAGCGAATCACAGACCTTGTCTTGGCAAATCTCAACCTTGTAACATCAATCTCCAAGCGTATGAAGTCTTCTTCTTTAGGGTAGCATTTAACACAATCAGGATTCTGGAGAATTCAACACTAAAAAATTTATTTTCACAACTGAATTATTTTTTTGTATCACAGTTAATTCATACATTTTCAAATAGTTTGTTATATATAGAAAAAAATATTTTAAAATTAAAATAATCTTGGAAATTTTTAAAAAGTAAATTTTGTTTATTTTGAATTATTAAATTAATATATTACATTTGTTGAAATAAAGAGAGCTCTGGTTGACTAAATGATAAGATTTTAGATTATTTGTTGTCCAAACACGTTGTGACACATGTCCACTCTGACAGAAAAGATAATTAGGGTTTACTTCTTTTATATCTTTTGTATACATATATATTGAAGCTAGCAAGTCTTATAGAACCTTTTCAAAAGACAAAAACCAAGAGGCAACAACTTCTCTGATCCATTGTTGAAGGTGAAGCAGAATCCAAAGGCGAGAAGTTATAGCATAAACCAAATACTCAGATGCACTCTTTTAGCTCTCGGTGTAATCGGCACTGTGGCAACGTTAGATCTGCTTTGTACGGGAAGAAGGAATCCATTCAGGCAAGACAATATCAAATTTCGATCAAGCAATACTTGTCTTAAACTATTTAACGATTATTGATTTAGTTTTAAGACCAAGCAAGCAAATAAAACCTGAAATAATTCTCCAATGGATTACACTGTCGATATGGATAGTGAAACGATATAGGTTTCGATTTAATCTGTTGGTTTTTATTAATTCTTAAAAGATATGTTGTTAACTACTGTGTAGATCTATAATGAAAGTAGACAGAAACTACGAGCTTTGTCGGGAAAAAGTGACAGAAGTTATGCACGGATGCATTGTGTCAACGGTACGGTACGTCTTTTTTTTTTTTTGCTTTGTTCTGTTTATTTGAGGCTTTTATTTAGCAAACATCAGTCAAATTGGTTAGATAGAAATTTGATAAGAGACTTTTTTTTTTTTTTTTTTTTTGTTGACATGAGACATCTATTGATTAGATAGAAATTCATGTCTTCCAAATATTAATTTCATTTCTAACAGTGATTTTTATATGAGAACAATCTCAATTTTATTAATCAACTAGATTAGGACCTATGTTATACACGGGTTAATCGATAAATATTTATTTTATAAAAGAATCAATAAAATTTTTGCCTATAGAATTTTAATTGAACCATTTGTAAATTTTATTTGGGTTTGAAACACCCAAATTTTTATTTTTCAGATTATATAGAAATTATGAGTTGAATATATATATAAGATTTCGTAATCTAATTTTTTTTTAAAAAAACTTAACCAACGATAAGTCAAATACATTTAATTAGTTTAATTTTATAACTCTCATCGCAATTTATCTACTCTATCTATATATCCCTAAAGCACCTAAAAGTTTTTAAAAACATTCCCTACTAAAATACTATACTATGTAAGCTAAAATTTGGAATCATTAACTTGTGTTAAATGTCTTACTCAAACATGACAACTACACTTAATCCCCCATTCATGTTTATTATTATATTCATAATTATATATATATATATATATATATATATATATATATATATTATAGTTACATATTGTAATTTATGTAGATATGTGTTTTACTATTATCTTTTTTATTGTTTTTATTTTACAAAAATTAAAGGAGAAACATATTTACGTTTCAAAACTGAAAATAGTAAAAAACATATTAAAATCTAATTAATTAATTGAAACGCATCGGGATTTCTTAAATTTCAGTTTTACAATATGTCAAACTCTGTTAAGAATGTTCAAGTTAATATAATAAGATTAGTAAATTTTTATTTTTCTGGTAGGATAAAGAATTCATTACTTTTTTAATGTATTAGCAAAAATAATTTAATAGAATTAAGGTTAATAGTTTAATATATTGAGATTTTATAGGATAGGGAACTTTTACCTTTTCGTTTTTTAATATAGAAAAAAAAACATTTACGTACTTATGCGTAAATTTCTTTTTTTTCCAATAGGGGTAAGAATTTTTATATGTTTGCCATTAAATATATTAGGTTATGAACCCCCGCGATGTCGCGGGGAATTCATTTTCAACAAATATATTTGATTGTGTTTATGAATTAAATTATTATGATAATATATTCAAATATATGAATTATTATATAAAATTAACTATGTTTTAAAGTTATATCATAAATATTTTCCAACGATGTTAAAACAATTTATGAATAAAAATACAAAAAGAAGAATTATGATTAAAAACACATTTGAAATATTTTTTATGAATGTAAATTATTTATAAGTGACAAAATACATAACGAAGAGTTATAATATAGAGATAAAAAATTCTAGCAGGTCAAAACTCAAAAATTCGGATGGAGTCAGTACTCAGAATGACTTGTGGATGACTAAGAACTTCGCCAGAGAATTGGTGTTTTTTTTATTGCCCACTGTTCTTTAAATATAAAGTTAATATTTATTCTATTATATATATTAGAGAAAATATAAAATTTGATGACGTAAATTACATTTATAGCAAAATAAATAAATATTTACAAGATCTCATAAATTTGTATTTATATTGATAAATTAACTGACTAAAAAACTTCTTCCTTGAATAACATTTGATGAATTAGAAGCATTGTTTTTTTCCTAATAATGTAAAAGATTTCTGGATTACCATACCATTTGAAACAGTTCATTTGACGCTTACCAAATATAAAACACCCAATCACAAGCGTCATATGAGCATGTCTTCTCATATGAGCATGTCTTCTCATATTCGGACTTTGTAATAGTGTTAACGCAACATCAATATTTCTTTGTATATAACCCATATATATTGCCTTAAAATAGAAAACATCATTGTTACTATATAAAATAGTTAAATAAAAAAATTCACTATATAATCCATCCAATTGTTGGTACTTCATTAGAATGTTATATGTAAAGTCGATTAAAACTTCTTCATTTTTATAATCATTCCAAAAAAACTTTAGTTAGATCAAGAATGTGAAGAATTTCTTTAATATTAAAATGATGTATGTTTAGAAATAGTTTAGAGAATAAAGAATTTGGAGCCATTTTACAGATTATTTTTTTTAGATTCATCATAAAATAAATAATCTATGTTAAAGATCAAAAATTTGGGAACTACTTAGGAAGAAGGAGAAATATATAGAGTTCAAAAGTCATGAAAATTTAAATAGACAACTATTCATACAAAAAGTTGTGATGAAAAAATATAATAAAATATAGTGAAGAGACGTATTTAAATGAATAGATGCAACTATAAAGACACAACCGTAAACTGAAAAAATACGATTATAATTGAACAAATAGAACTATCTCAAAACAATAACTGTCAATATTTTAACAAAAATATGCGATAAAAAGTTACAACTTAGAAAAAATAACTGTAAAAATTTTAACGGAAATTTACGATAAAAAAACACAGACGAAAAAAATAACCGTTAATATTTTAACGGAAAGTTGCGATAAAAAGACACACAAAAAAATAACCATCAATAAAAAATAGAAACGTCAATATTTTAACAAAGAATTGCGATAAAAAGACACAGCCGAGAAAAAATAACCATCAATAGTTTAACGGAAAGTTGCGATAAAAAAGATACAACCGAAAAATAACCGTCAACAAAAAAAGTAACTATCAATATTTTAACGGAAAATTGCGATAAAGACCAAAACATAAAAAGTAACCGTTAATTTCTTAACGGAAACTTGCGATAAAAAGACATAACTGAAAAAATAACCGTCAATATTTTCACGAAGAGTTGCGATATAAAGACACAATCGAGAAAAAATAACTGCCAATATTGTATCGGAAATTTGCGATAAAAAACACCACCAAAATATAATCATCAACAAAAAAAGTAAGCGTCAATAATTTAACGAAGTGTTGCGATAAAAAACACAACCGCAAAAATTAATGGTCAATATTTTAGCGGAAAGTGAAGATAAAAAGACACAACCAAAAAAGTATTCGTCAACGAAAAAAGTAACCGTCAATATTTTAACAAAGAGTTGCGATAAAAAAATACAACTGAGAAAAAATAACCGTCAATATTTTAACAAAGGGTTGCAATAAAAAGACACAACCGAAAAAAAATAACAGTCAATATTTTAACGAAGAGTTGCGATAAAAAGACATGGCCGAGAAAAAAATAACCATGGATATTTTTCCAAAAGTTGCGATAAAATATACAAACGAAAAAAGTAACCATCAAAATTTCAACGGAAAGTTACGATAAAAGACACAACCTAAAAAATATCCGTCAACGAAAAAAATAACCGTTAATATTTTAGCGAAGAGTTGCAATAAAAAGACACAACTGAGAAAAAATAACCGTTAATATTTTAACGGAAAGTTACGATTAAAAGGCACAACTAAGAAAAAATAACCATCGATATTTTAACGGAAAATTGCGATAAAAGACAGAAACGAAAAAGGTAACCGCCAATATTTATCGGAAATTTGCGATAAAAAAGATACAACTGAAAAATAACCGTAAACAAAAAATTACGATAAAAAACACAAGCAAAAAAATAACCGCTAAATCGCTAATATTTTAAAGAAAAGTTATGATAAAAAGACGCAACCGTTGAAATGTGCAAATGACATTTATTGAGATTGCTATTATATTTGTTTTCCCATGATATCACGTAAATGTTAAATGAATGATATAATTAAGGAGGTTATACTACTAAATATATTCATATGTAAACTATGAAATAAAACCAATTTTATGTGTAGTTTATTGGTTTAATTACGTAAGAAGAAATCCAATAAAACAACATGACCCTACAAAAATAACTGTAAGAAAAACAACCATAAATATTTAAACGGAAGGTTGCAATAAAAAGACGCAATCGTTCAGATGTGCAAATGGTATTTATTGGAAACGACATAACCGTAAAAAAAATAACCAATTAAAACGAAAATTGCGATAAAAAGACGCAACCAAAATAACCGTAAAAAAATAACCGATTTAAATGAAAGGTTGCGATAAAAAGATGCAACCGTTCGGATGTGCAAATGGTATTTATTAGATTGCTATTATATATAGATTAAGAAACTTAGATTTAACACGTGTCGGTATCTGGTGATTTAATTACGATATCTGGTGATTATTTGGCACGTGTCGTGATCACATGAATCAACAACTTTGAAAACTCAACTTTATGTCATAAGATACCATAACTCAATCAAAAATTTCATACAACTTTAGGCCTATAAGACTTATTTATACTAAATCCAAAAACCCTAAAATTAAAATATCCTAAAACAATGAAACTTCAACTAAACTAGCGAGTCACTACAATGTGACGCATGAGTAAGCATCGGTGAATAGATTTTAGTCATTCACGCATATGAAGATGGTCCATTGGTTTGGTGTTTTAAGGAGCCACATGGTTTACATGTCACTATGAACTGTATAGCACCCCAACTTTAGGAGCAAAGGACTTCTCCTATCGTCTACGAAATGAGACGTAAAATTATGACGTTTGAATCGGAGGAGATGAATCTCAAGAAGTGAGCTTCCAAACTTTTTAAAAGGACTAAATGTAATTAACACATTATTATTTCTAGGTTCATGTCCCTACGCTAAGGATATAAATTTGCATCAACCAATTAGGAGATGATGATGAAAACTAAGAGGGTTTCTCCATTGTAGTGACTAATTCATAAGTCAAATAGTTTGGAGAATCTTTTTCTGAGATCTTACTATGAGTGATGTGTCCTGGTACGGAAGATTCTTCGGACCTAAAAATTGGAGTGAGTGAAGTCGGATAAACATCAATGAAGATCATTGATCATCCGG